GGGGGGGGGGGGTGCGCAGGGGACGTAGCTCCTCTACTTTTTTTAAATTTTTTTGCGCACCCCAACTACTTTTTTTATTGGGACGGGAGGACGGTGGAAAATACGACCTATTTTTTTTTTTTTTTAATATAGATTTAAATTGTGATCAATTTTATAATTTAAAATATTTTGTAATAAACAAATTTTTTATAATTAATATGATATGATATTTCATTATAGTATGATAATGAATTATGATTTATTAATAAATACTAAATAAAGTAATGAGTAAAAAAAAAAAAGGTCTTCAAATGCTAGGGACGCAGTTTTCAAATTGTTTAGTTGAGCTCCCCTATTTATTTTTGGCCAATTCGAGCACTGGTTATAATGATAAACAAACCACTACAATTTTTCTCTATCATATTGATAAATATATCATAGGTTCAATAGTAATGATATATTTATCAAATTGAACGATGAATTTATTATATAGATCGAGGTTTTTCTCTGGGTGTATGAACCTCCAACCTAACCCCTGGAATAGACACGTATCAAAGATATAACTCTGCCAAATAACTCTGTACAAACAGTATCGAATTATTAAATTTACTTCTCGCGCCTATTTCGTTATGAAAGTGTGGAATGATTGCGCGTAGTGAGTGCCTTTGTGAATATTTGACAGCATCTGAGCAAGTGAGAGTATTCTGTCAATTATCAGAGTGACATCTGAGCCAGAATGCTCATTATTTTGGGGTTTTTATTGTTATAATTCAAAAATATATATATATATAGCAGAAAGTTGGTAAAATATAAATGATGAAAATGAGCGATGAGTATAGTGAGAACCTGATGTTGTGGTTCTATCGGGGTCGTATGGTTCGAGGGTTTAGAACGACAAAGACAAGTAGATATAAAAATATATTAAGTTCCTCTTATAGAGGTAGAATAAACTTTTGTCTGGTTAGTTTCTAATGTCCTAACTAAGAGGCAACGAAACGGCGAAGCCAGTTCACGAATACCTCGGCAACGAGACGGCAGAGCCAGTCCACGAATACCAGAGCCTAATTTATACAGTAGAAATCACGCTAGGTTTTTTAAAACATCTTTAAGGCAACGAAACGGCAGAGCCAGTTCACGAATACCATATAACGTGATTATGTATAATTTCTTTAACCAACCAGTCAAAATTGACACTTTAAGATATTAATTTAATAAATGATCTATTGCTTTGTCATTCTTTACTCAAATTTATTAACTCCAAATAATTGGGATAACATAAAATTACTTACTTCTTTTATTCTTGTAAATTGCT